CAGAACTCACTTGATTTCATACCCCCTTCTGTTAGGGTAACAGGGCACCACAACCCTCCCCGGTACCGATCAACGTAGCTCTGACGGACAGGAAGTGCCTTCCTCCCTCGACAATTCCCTTCGCGGCGAGCCCCTAAACAGGTTATAGGGTCAATACCCCGGCGCCAACTACGTCGGACGATCTGGTTATGCCTTCCACCCTCGGCATAACTTCCCAGGCCTGAAGCTCCCCCTAGGTTACAGAGCAGAGGCTCCAGCACCGGCCTGTGTCGTCCCGGTATCGTCCTTCTAACCTACTTACCCTAACAAACAACCCTTTCTGTTGAGAATCCCCTTGCTACCTTTCTTCCTTCAAATCTAGCTTCCCCCCCCTTCGGCTCACTGTGTAGCCATCGAAGTCACTCCTTCCCTCAAAAAAACAAAATCCTAACACACTGCTATAAGCAGCCACCCCCTTGCCTTCTCTCCCTACCTGTCAGTACTGATCCGACCCTAAATCTGTCCGGCTAAGAGACAACCATCCCCCAATACCGCCTCCCCCCTCCAAGAATTACACCTCCCACCTTGTGAAACCCTCACGGGGGGAGGCTCCAACCCTCAAGGAAGACCCCACAGATATACACAGCAAGCCACAATTACACCCCTCAGACCAGGAAGTTGAGATTAGCAAACAGAGAAAGCCAATCCGAATTAAAATTTACCGCACGGTGTTATGATTAGCAACCATAGGGTTTTGAAAAAATACTACAATAGCCCACTTTTAGGCATCGAAGATCAGAATGAGTTTTTATCAGAAATCAAGAAAAAAATCAAGACCATACGATCAATGATAAGAAAAACTACTGAGTGACAAAATTTACGAGAAATTATACGAAGTTTAGGTTTAGATATCCATAAAGGATTTTTGAATCAGGTTCCCAAACCACAGTTTGAGAAACGTTTGGCAAAGATCTATGACACGAAAAAGTTTAAGAGAATTTTTTCAAGCAACCATATTATCAGAAGGAACCACCAACAGAAAACTGAATCAGATCGTCATCATTTAGAAAGAATATCCAGAATTACAACCTAGAAAAAACAAACGAGTGAATTCAGAATAGAGAAGACAAAATTCAAAAAACCTAATTAGATCATCATCATTGGTAAAAATCAGCTATGCAAATCAAAGTAATCCAGATTGGTGAATATAACTGAAATCATTATACACATATGATCAGCGGACTATCCAAAGAAAAGCCAAGCTCATCCTCAAGATGCAATGAACAGGGTGAAAAAAACTCAGCCACAATGCCCTCGCACTCCAGATGCCCTCGTGACGAAAACGCAGCTGCCGCCGATACCGCTTGGCCCTTCTTCAAAAACCACGGACTCGATGTTGCCTCCAATCCTCCTCCCACTCCACGTGAGGACGCGCTCCTCCCTTACAGCCTGCATCAGCCGACCATCCTCCACAAAAACTATGCAGGCCGAGAAGCAAAGGCAACCAATATGCCGAGAATCTCATGAAGACCCGCCCCCTTTCAAAGGCAGACTTCCCTTCATCCAATGTTCTGGCTTGCAGCATCACTAGCTGAAGCGTGAAGTCGGAGATGGCACCACCAGTGCTTTGAAAAGGCAGGCCACACCAAGTCGCGCCACATCATCTCTACCCTCCCGCTGTCATGTCTCGCGCCCACAGCCCCCACCCGCCCACAGCGTCGCCAGACTCTCCGTTAGCTCCTGCGTCACGCCGCGTCTGCTCCGACGGTGCTCCAGCGGGGGCGCAGCGCTCCCGATCGCGCTGCGCCGTTGAGGCTGGTCACTATCACTCTCGGGGAGGCTCCATCTATTGGTGGGAAACTGGTTATAACTTCCTCTCAAAACCCCAAACCCTCCAAGCAGGTCTCCTCATAAGATGGCAAAACAGGGTCTCTTCTCTCAAACTTAAACCACTCCAACCCAAATGGATTCTTTTTTATATCCCAACTCCTCCTCTCCTCCCTGGAATCCAAAGTGGGCGGCCTACAGTGGCTAAACCTCCACTCATGTACTCCTACTGCAATGTGGTGCTCTGAAAAGGGTATGAATGTCTCCGTTTTCTGCAACTCATGTTCCCACCCCTCCTTGGAAGACTGGCTTCATCTCTGGTGGGAATGTGTCATCGCTAGAGGCTTTAGGGAAGAGCTGAACTCTTGGTGGTCCACGGCTTACACTGTGGCAGACTTCTGGACTGGAATCAGGACTTCGTGGTGACAGGCAGATTCAATCCTATTTTCAACAAACTACAGCTAAGCGAGGTAGCTCACTGCTTCACGAAATGAGCATTCTGGAATCTGTGGCTGGCAAGAAGAGAGACCATTCCTCAATGATAACTCTCCCCTCCCCTCCCTGCTGGCACAGTTCAAGCAGGCTCTCCGCCTAGATATCACAGCAGACTACATTAGCATTAAACCACCAGTAGTACGTCCCTTTCCCTCAAAGGCTGGCGCCGCCAGCCAAAACAAGTTTTATTTGTTGCGCTGGCGAGTCGGCGCGAAAGGGCGCGCAGCCCCCCTAACCAGTGAGCCACAGTGAATGGCCGTTCACGGCGTTTTTGGATGCCCAAAAGAGGGCCTTCCAGAGGGGCCCCGACCATGAGGGGATGTGGCGAGCCGCTTCTCGCCCCCTATTGAAAAGAAACTAGGAAAGAAAAAGGGGCAACAGCGACTGCGTCGCAACTCACGTTCGGAATGTGCAAAAAAAAAAAAGGGTAGAGGCATAACAAACGACAGTGGCCGKGACAAAGCCACTGGKGTTATGCGTACAGGGCCGTAAGGTCTGATGTGAGGGGGCGGGGGGCGGGGAAGAGGCCAAAATTGCGCGTTTTGAAGTTGCACCATGACGGCAGTGCCGTTTAGTGTTATTCTTGCCTGTTTCAAACCCAGTTTTCTCAAAAAAAAAATATTTTTTGGGGGTGGTAGGCCCTCCACCATGCGACAATTGCTTTTTCGATCCCCACCTAGGTCGTAGGAAAAATAATCAATCAATCAAATCGTGAATGAATGAATGAATGAACCAATCAATTACCAATCAATCAATCATCCATCCATCCATCAATAAATCATCAATCAATCACCAATTAGTCACCAATCAATCAATCAGGGTCAATCATCAATCATCAATCAGCCGATTAATCAATCATTGACAATCAATAAGTCACATACACACCCACACACATGCACACACAGAGTGAGCGCGCATGTGTTTGTGTTCTTTCGTGCGTGCGTGCGTGCGCGCGCGCGCGTGTGTGTGTGTGTGTGTGTGTGTGTGTGTGTGTGTGTGTGAGAGAGAGAGAGAGAGAGAGAGAGAGAGAGAGAGAGTTCCGCCACGTGGCAGGGGCGGAGAGGAACCTCATTCTAAGTGGGATAGGGTCGGAGACTTCGTACTGCACCCATCCTAGGGTCTTGATGGGAAGTCAATTCCTTCGCAAGAGGGTAATCAATGCTGCTCATCATTAACGATTGACCATAATTGGCTCCTGCTTTGTAATTGGGATGCTGGACCCAGTTTCTCTCCCCCCCCCAAAAAAAAAGGGAAAAAAAGAAACATTCTGCCATCCGGAAAACAAAAAAACAATTGAGAAAACATCCTACCATGGCCAATCTAGGCGCCGGGTCTTTGGCCTCGCTCCACCGCTCTCTTTACACGACGCGGGTGCTCTGCTGTGGGCAGTCGACGGAGGAAGGGCCACGGCGAGGGTGCTGCACTCTGGGCGATTGACGGAGGAAAGGCCGACAACAGTAGAAAGTAGGTGAGGATCCCAAGTAGAGGGGGGAGGAAGAATGCGCTGCAGAAGAGAGGCGGATTTGGGGGACGGGGATGGGAATGGGAAGAGGAGGATAAAGACAGCCAGGAAGTGCTGCATTTTCACATAGACAGGCATCAGCACGACCGCACTGGCAGGATCACGAAGAGACGGGAGGTTGGGGGGAGCAGAGGAAGAGAAAGAGAGACCAAGCCGGACTCAGGAGAAGCAGAGCTCGCGAGAGAGGGCAGCCACAGAGAGAGAGAGCTGGAAAGAAAGCGAGGACTGGCATACTGTTTTCACAGCCTGAGGAAGAGACACGCCAGGCATACACAACGGAAGCGTCGTCATCATATGAAGGATGATTCTAATCACGTGAGACGGGGGACGCGGAAGAACGAGCTGGAGAGAGAGAGAGAGAGAGAGAGAGAGAGAGAGAGAGNAGGGCATAGTCACACTAGCACGTCTTCAACTCAGCTGTGGACGCGATTGCGGTCAGATACATGCAGTTCCGGCCGTAATTAAGGTCAGATACATTTAGGAAAACAAAGTGGCAGTGTGAGAGTGCCCTCAGAGAGTGAAAAAAAAGATTGGACGCATCGTCCGCATGTAGACATCCAGCGAAGATCATGCATGTCATCCAAAGGGAATTATGCTCACGTGGGATGAAAGGCGAGCCGGCTGGAGAGCGAGCAGGCAAAGCTAGAGGAAGAGAGGAAGTCTTAGAGAGTGAGGGAGAAGAAGGCAAGTAAAAAATAGCAGGTGCACATTAAGGACAACGGACAAAAGTTGCTGGAGCCTGGAGGGATAGCGCAGAGAAGGAGAGAGAAAGAGGGGACGTCTTTGAGAGTGATGCCCGGAGAGAGAAAGAAGGCGAGGGAAGAGAAAGAAGGCGAGGGAAGAGAAAGAGCCGACGTCTTATTAAGAAGGATTGCGGAGACGGAAAGAAAGGACCTCGCTCCGAGAGAGCAGTGCGGTTTCAGATCAGTGATCAATGAATGAATACTGGCCCAAGACAAGACACTGTCAGGATATAAGCTGCAGTATCCGCCAGCATTCTCAAGGGCAATATCTGCCACAGCTTCTCGGGCAAGATATTATAATCTCTTCCTGGAAACAACTTGAAGGTGGTGAGAAACACACCAGAGGTTTTTTTTTTTTTTTTTAATCAGGATATAGTCTCGTCCTGATAGTGAAGAAGGATGACAGTCCCGAACAAATAAAAGTCAAGCACCCGCTCATTTTGCTAGATTTGTTCTAGATTGCAGCCATCGCCATATTTTATCCCACCATGTGGCCATATTAGCATAGTTCTGGGACACAATAGGAATGGATGCTCAATTCATTCTCTTATTCTCCTGCTGGGGAAGGCATCCTGACATTTTTTGCACCATGGTAGTAATATTCCCTTCTGTGAGTGATGGATCAGAGCCAGTCCTTAAAAAAAAAAAAAAAGAAACAGGTGATAGACCGATGGTCTATTTGTGGGAGCTTCACAATGTTCACATGCTGGGACCGGGCCCAATCAGCCAGTCTCTTGTAGGTAGACCTGGCAGAGGCATCAATGTTCATTAAACTTCATTTCATTTTTTTTCTATGACCGAGTCCACTGTGAGACAGGCACAGTGGGACCAAGGTCCCATTTGTTTTTGGCACCAGTTGTGGGCAGTGCGGAAACAAAAGGTGTGAAAAGAAGGGGAGTGGATTCGAGAAAATGCCATTGCCTTTTGTAGCCTCAAAAAAAAAAAAAAAAAAAAAAAAAAAGATATACTCTCTTCCAGATGGCGAGGGGGATGGCAGTCTTGAGGGGTATGAACCCAGGTCGGGTACTGAGGGGTTGGGGGGTGTGCGCCCTGAAAATCGCCGAGGTTGGGGGGGTCGGGCAGTCCCGTGAGATCATGAGGTTTGGTGGAGGTATGAAAGAAGAAGCGAAGAGAGAGAGAGAGCTTTCGGCAGTGTGACTAGGCTGGCCGTCAACTTAGAAAAAAGAGAATTTCGAAGTAAAAGACAAATCTGTTTTTTTTTCCTTTCCCTTTTCTGACAATCACAGTCTCCAATCGATTCGTGGAGAGCTGCATGTGCTCAGAACCTCGTGCTTAACGCTCCTTCTGTCATACATAGTTGGAAGTTGGAAAGTTGGAAAGTATGAAAGCATGCGATAACAATCATGAGCACGAGCACGAGCACGAGCACGAGAAAGCCACCACAGTGGTGCAAATCGGGTCCAACGGAAAGACAAATCACAACTGCCCTAGGCTACCAGAGTGGCCCGTGGTCACTTGCCCGGCCGGGCCGAAAAAAAAAAACGAATACAAAATAATATTTTTAAATTTTTTCTTTTATTTTAAATTTGGTGAAGAATTTCGATGTGACCCTGAGGCAAAAGTTGTTCAGTTTATTTTTCTGCCTAACACAGTTTTTTTTTTTTTTTTGTTTTTGCTAGGACCTTCCCTGCACGGGCTGGCCACCCGGGACCCGAGCGGCCCGTCTGGTAGCCTAGCAACTGCCACATTTATGGGTTTTTTTTTTTCTTTTCCTTTTACAGAATCTCTCGATTTGTCTGTCATCCCTTACGCAGGCACGACGCTATCGTTTTCTCTATCATTCCAAACCCCACGGCACGGTTCCACTAGGAAAGAGGATTGGATTAACGCCTGCCACTGGATTAACGCCTGCCTCTGGAATGACGTCTGCCTCTGGACGTGTTTGTGGACAGCTGCATATATTAATTGAATTGCCCTGCCTGTCTGAATCTCTGCTTAAAACCCAGGCATCCACGTCAAGCGTTAAATTCAACCCTCTTGGCTGCGGAAAGGTGCCACAGGACATCATGAAATAGTAAAATAAAAGAAAAGCAGCAAAGAGAAAATAAAACCACCCTATCAAACCCAAAAACATGATCTCAACATGATCCGTGGAACTGCCACCCAAACCAAAGAGATGATCCGTGTAATCCACCAGCACCAGCGGTCATAATCTGATCATCAACCGCTCTCCATGTGCCTGAAATTCAGCCCCACGGGGCAGGTACAGAGAAAGAGGGTATGATGAAGAGGTAAAGAGCGCCTAAAACAATAACAGAATGGCTGAAGAAAAGAATACAATCCGAAAATTTTAATTATAGCTAGCCACGGCTTCCTTTCTGCAGAAACCCTCTCTTTCCCTCACGCCTCTCTCTCTCTCTCTCTCTCCATCTCTCTCTCTCTCTCTCTCTCTCTCTCTCCATCTCTCTCAACTCTCTCAACTCTATCTCTCTCTTTTGGGGCCATAGCCGGCCATGGCTCCTCTCCAAGGCCTGGAATAGTGTGTGTCCCTTGACTTCAGCGGGGATTCGTTGGATGCACCAAACAATTTCCGCCCTACAAACATCCACAGAAAGTGGCATCCAACTCACTAGCCCAAACAACTCATCCAGTAGATTGAGGTTGGCGAAAGGATCGCCAGCTCTTGCGAAATCTCGAAGTTTCCTTACCCGCTTGAGCCTTTCCGGATGACGACCGTTATCGTAGGCCTCCAGAAACTCTGATTCGTGAGGAGCACTGGTTTCCATGGGCGTCTTTTTTGGGCATTTTGAACGATCTCGAAGTCTCAACAATTGTATCAAACTTTCCCGAAGATTTCGAAGTCTTGCACAGCCATGGAGGCTCAGTTTCAGTTCTTTCAGGTTTGGGATGCTTCTTGGCAACTTCGTAAGACTGGTGCAGTTTGACAGGTTGAGCTCCATCAAGCGACCCAAGTTGCTCACTGAATCAGGAAGCGATTCCAATGACTGGGCGTACTGCAAATTCAACACCCTCAGCTGTGACAACCACCCCATTTCGTCAGGTAAGGAAGCCAGCGTCGAACAGCCACTAAGGTTGAGGCGAGTCAGATTTCCAAGTTTGCAGATGCCGTCCGACAGGAATGTCAGGGACGTGCAATATTGAAGGCTCAAGCACCTCAAACTGCTCAGACCTGAAATCCCCATGCCCAAGTCGCAGAGAAAAAATGACGACGAGAGGTTGAGGCGAGTTAGCATGCATAGCATGCCGATTGATAAAGGCAGGGATCTAAAACCAGAAAAACTCAGATTCAATTCCCTAAGCTCTGTTAAATTCCCAATCTCCTCCGGCAGGCAGCGAAGTCCAGAACGTTCCAAGCTTAGTTGTCGAAGCTGAGTCAGAACCCAGAAAGCTTCAGGAATGGACTCGACAAATTGCAACGAGTCTGAGAGGTCCAGAGAAGTCAGACGTGAAAGACGTCCAACAGCTGGTGGCACTGCCCGTAATCTGGCCGATTTGATGGAAAGGTGAACGAGACTTTGGAGGTCACCAATGTCATCAGGGATGGACTCAAGTTTGGAGGATAGAATCTCCAAACGTGTGAGGGATGATAACAATCCAATCGTGACAGGCAAACTTCTGAGATCCCATGAATTGATGATACTTAGCTTCACCAGCTTTGTCAGGCACCCTATTGCCGGGGGAACCTCTTTGAGACAGTACGAGCCCTCCAATTTAATGGAACGGAGACGTGTCAAATTCCCAATGCTGGAGGGGATATCTTGATCAGACAAAGAAACGGTATCGGATAAACTTATGGAAAAGTCCTGCAGACATGGTGAGCTTAGCAGAAACGGCAACACCCCATTACCAGTCTCGCTACCTTTGAGAAATGCAACTCCACACATTCTCAGCACTCTCAACTGGCGGAGTTCGCTAATGGCTTCTGGGCTAATGGAAAGCTTCGCCGAAAATGCTGCAGCATTGCAACTGAAGTCAATTACCAGTACCTCCAATTTTCGCAGGTGTCTGATCGAGCAAGGGAATTCTTCATCGGAGGATGTGCCAAAGAACTCCACCCACAGCACCCGGAGGTTCAGAAAGGATGAGAAGTAGTCATGTGGCAGCACGCTTGGCTTTGGAAAGTTCAGTAATGTCATGATCTGCAGCGGGCTGCTAGAAGTTACTTGCTGCAGAAATTCTCGCCCACGCTCCAATGAGTTTTCCCCAAGTGATAGATGTGCATCCTCCTCATTTTCATCAACAAAGAATAGCACTTCACGGGGCCAAGACCAGTAGAAACTCACCAAGTGTGGCATTTCCAACGAAGAATCTGGAATGTCTTCCTCGGTGGAGCCACTTGACGTACTTAACATAAATTTCCTTGTGGATTCATGAATTTCTGCTTCTTCGGTACTATCGGTAGGAGGGCAACGATCCAGCAAAAATAGTCGCTGTCTGAATCCATTCGCGCACTCTACTGATCCTCCTCCACGGCTCATCCCTCCTAATGTAACAGTTGGTGCTGAGACTGAGTTGATCATATCAAGTGCCGCTTTGCGAATCATATCATGTAAGCTCACATATGAGTCACCGTGGGCTTCCACCAAGGACAAGCTGACCATTGCGTTCAACCTCTCCCTAGCTGTTTCCAATCCGTAGTCTCCGCAAGAAGGATAGATGGACCACTGTGCTTCGACCAAATCACGTGACACTCGTTCGTCTTCTGGAAAGCCAGCGAGATCCAGAAACATATCCATGACACAGCCTGAGGGGTCTATCTCGGCAAGAGCTTCAATGGATCTCTGGAGTGTCTTTATCACTTTTCTGTGAAAGTCAGAGACTGCACCAGGCTGACATTGGGCGGGGTGAGCTCCTTTCAAAAACTCGTGCCACTGATCCCAAAGTCCTCTGTCTTGGTTTCTTGGACAAATGCTTGAAGCAACAACCTTAAGAGCCAATGGTAGCCCACCACATTGTTTGCATACTTTTCTCGCCACATCGTCAAGGTCAGGGGGAGAGACCTGCCTCCCAAAGGCAAAATGACAGAACAATCTGAAAGATTCACCCTCCCTCAACGGTTCGACATGGAAGCATTTTGTCCCAGGGATTTGCACAACTTCCCTGTTCCTTGTTGTGACGATGACTCTACAATTCTCAGGGAAAACCTCGCGAATCCAATCAATTTGGTCACTTTGGCACGCATCATCAAAAACCATGAGAAATCTCTCATCCTTCATTTTTCTCTTTAGAAATGCACACTTCTTCTCGGCTTCATCCAGCTCCCTGTGGTCAGCACCTGTCTGCGTCCTCCATTGCCTGTACACCATGCCAATAATCTCGGGGCGAGTTCGTGCCTCGCCACAAGCTACGTACATTATCTTATCACGAAACTTAGACCTCATCTCATCACTATCATGAATTTGCATTGCAAGTGTTGTCTTGCCCACACCTCCCATCCCATGGAGGCACACGACTGCTGGACCTCCTGGCAGACTGGGTACCAGCAAGATTTGCTTGAGCTCTTCCAAAGAAGCCTCGGCTCCCACCAGTGCGCCATGGGTTGTGAATGGGTCAAATGTCCATTTCGTAGGCAAGTTGGCTGACCTCTGGGTTTTCAAAATGTCGAGGACTTCGAGAAGTCGTTTGTCCATTCTCTCGAACTCAGACTGCAGAATGTTGACGGTTTCGACATTCATTAAGAGATGAAGTTGTTTCTCCATTCTCTCAATCTCAGACTGCAGAATTGTGAATGCCTGTTGACAGCAGCCACGAGTAAAATAAGTTGAGACTGCTTCCCACCCCACATGCCATTGACTTTCACTCTTGATGGTCTCCAGGTTCTGGTGCAGATTCCTCAGTTTGCCACGCAACGTCTGAAGGTCGTCCTTTGTGTACTGCACACCTTGAAGTCTATCACTGATTGTTTTGATGTCCTGAACACATGTTTCCAGTTCCTGGCAAGCCTCGTTGTGGTGAACAACTCCTGATACAAATTCCAAGGCAGTATTTCCGAGTTGCTGAATCGCAGTAGATAGCAGGTTCGTACCCACGCCAACTGCAAGTGCTGCCGCCATCTGACCTCCTGAGAAAAAGACAAAATCAGAGAAATGCATGAAACACAGAGAAAAAGTACAGCACATGTTGATGTGTGAGGTACTGGCCAAATACCATAATGGCTATGTCACGTTTGCTTGAGGCCTGCCATGATGTTTCCTAAGGTGCTTCATGATTCGCATGGCATCAGACAACTGGACTTGCAAAACAAAGTATTCAATCACAATGTCCACAGTGCCCAAAAAAATTGCGCTGTGTTGAGGCTAAATTAGACCAATATATTTCAACGGCCTAAAAATTTAATGATAACAGCACCGGACAAGTTCCCATGACCTCCGTGGAATAGTTTGCAGCAAAGGAAATTTAATGCAACTTGCATAACCTGAACACATTGAACTCATGGCCTGCTTCAACCACTTGTATGCCAAATTGGACGCTTATTCTGACATATGCTGAAGGCTTGCAAAGCAGATGTGCAAATCTGTGTGGCGTTGGGCAGGCGTGGGTAGCACACACGGCGTCACATGCCAACAACACATACACGTACAGGTATGGGACCCTGACCCAGCCAACATGTGCACTTTTTTTTTTTTTTTAATTTCTATCCTTATACACCTGATTGGGTTGGTGATGCACTGCAGGGTATTTTTAACTTGAGAACCACACTGACAGGTGGCCTGTCCGGTTTCATGCGCTCATCCGCATATGGGCGTAGGGACCTGACAACCACGAAACACAAAACAGCTGCAAATATCCCTTCTCCTTAACCATCATTGCTCGCGTGGTGAAGCCGGCCGTGGCGCACCAAGAGCATGCAGAAATTTGAGTCCATGCTCTTGGATCCACATCATCTAATGGCCTTGATCAATCTTTGAGTTGTCTCTAAAAGGATGTTCTCTATCGAGACAACTCCGCGGGTGACCGCTGCACAGTTTCGAATTCGCAGGAATAACAGTCCACTCCAAGTTCAGGCGAAGACAAGTTTGAAACTCCAAGGAAAACAGTGAACTACGCGTGCGACGGCCTACCGGTTCAATAATTCGCAGAAACGGGAGGTGTCCTGGGCTAGTGGTACCGTTCCCGTGGCCTGGCGTGGGTTTCCTGGGGTGAGGTACCGGTAGCAGGCCCTCCCGTTTTTGGCCTCTGGCGGGACGCGGTTCGGGCGGGTAGAGTTTTTGGCCTCTGGCGGGACGCGGTTCGGGCGGGTAGCTTTCTCTACCCCGACGTTCCAGCCATGCGCACGGGGAGAGAGCGAGAGGGTACTTCGATTCATAGGCTGACAAAACTCGGAATGAATCTTACGCTACAACATGGAAATATACCCTTTTTTTTTTTTTTTTTTTTTTTTTGTGTGTGTGTGTGTGTGAGAGAGATTGAGAGAATGAGAGACGGAGAGAGAGAGAGAGAGAGAGAGAGAGAGAGAGAGAGAGAGAGCTTACCGGCGACGTTCCCCGTTCCCAATGGCGGGGGTTTTGGGGCCGGCGGAAAGGGGGAGGGAGACACAGAGAGCTGGTGGCCAAGGGCCGATGAATCAGGTAAGCACGTAACGTATCCCTGGAAACTTTTTTTTTTTTTTTGGAGAATCTCTGAACAAATGAGACTGAATCCTCCGCTTGAACATGGAAAGATACATTGCCATATATGGGCCTCGCTGCACTACTCTGGAAATGTGCAAAACGAGAGTGAATGTTGCGTTAGAATATAGAAAGATACACCGCCAATATTTTTGTCTTTTGTGCATGTTTCGAAAAAGCAGTCCACGGCTACCCACCCGAACCGCGTCCCGCCAGAGGCCAAAAACGGGAGGGCCTGCTACCGGTACCTCACCCCAGGAAACCCACGCCAGGCCACGGAACGGTACCACTAGCCCAGGACACCTCCCGTTTCTGCGAATTATTGAACCGGTAGGCCGTCGCACGCGTAGTTCACTGTTTTCCTTGGAGTTCAAACTTGTCTTCGCCCGAACTTGGGGTGGACTGTTATTCCTGCGAATTCGAAACTGTGCAGCGGTCACCCGCGGAGTTATTTCTTTAAAAAAATATTTTGAGACCCCAATTGTTGAATTGCAAGGACTGTTTGATTACAAACTGTCCCAATTCAAAAAGGCGAAAATAGAAAAACGAATGGTTTTTTTTTTTTTTTTTTTTTTTTTTTTTTTTTTTGCCACTCTGTGTGAGCGTCTTTCGGTTTTTGAATGAATTTCCACATGTGTGTTGATGTTGTAGCCACGGATGCGAAGCATGCGTATCTTGCCACGATATAGCTGTCAGTGAGGGTACATTGTGAGCAGTGGCTGGTGTGTACCCTTTTTTTTCCTAATAATAAGAGTTATAAAACTAAGCTGTATTCTCCCCTAGTATGCCTCACACCACCTAATCCTCGAATTGTTGAATGTTGCAGTTACGGGTTGACACCAACCTCCACCCGTGCCTAAGCACCGCTGCAAATTACCAACACCTGGCACGAGCTAGAAGGCAGACACAGATATCTCCTAACCAACCAGGAGGGGCAAGACAACTGTCTCAGCTGGTGAACCCGAAGCATGCTACAGGGGGCCACGGGGATCGAATGAACGTCGTCGGCATCGAACCCAGGGTCTTCTGATTACCACTAACGTGCGCTACCAACTGAGTTAGGACGCTGCCACCTGTGCCCTTTAGTACATTCCACGGCAGACCGACAGACAGAGACAGAATCACACACACACACACACACACACACACACACACACACACACACAGTGGGTGGAGGGCGGGGGGGAGAGAGAGAGAGAGAGAGAGAGAGAGAGAGAGAGAGAGAGAGAGAGAGAGAGAGAGAGAGAGAGGGGGGAGGGGGGGAGAGAGAGAGAGAGAGAGAGAGAGAGAGAGAGAGAGAGAGAGAGAGAGAGAGAGAGAGAGAGAGAGAGCTGCAGTCCACTGTTGAACATATGCGGAACAGATACATTAGTGTTATGAACCTGGTTGTTTGTTGTCTGAAGACCAACACTCGCTCACATAGACTTCCAGGTATGCCCATACATACACAGAAGGAAGGAGACAGGATGGGAGAATCACACCGCACAGAGGGAAATGAATACAGTGGAAGACTTGACCATGCGATATGACAGAGAGCACTGAGAGTGCCCTTCGCTCGCTCCACAGAATCCTCACAACCAGTCACAAAGGAAAGCCGAGTACAATAACGAAACAATGATAGTCTGAGCCCTGTATTAACACTTTATTATACTCAGAGTCTCGAATTGTCAGAAAAACCCTAGAACCATGGTGCGCTACTCAGAATTGAGTAGCGCTTCACTCCCCAACCCTGAAGAACCGCTATCTAACCCCCTGAGTCCCTGAAACATCAAGCGCCACCCAGATACTGCCTCCAGAGGGAAGCGCCACCCTGAAACAGGCCTCTAAGGCCAAGCGCCTCTCAGAGGATGAAGAAGAAGACCAGCGCCACAGTGTCTGATGATGATGAAGTGGCGAATGACTTCCCTGATGGAAGTCTGCAGCAGCGCCACCTCTCCTGACAAGTTGACCTCTGAGGAAGAAGCTGCAGCTATAGCTGCAGCGCCACACTCCCTGCAACCCTACTCCAGAGGAGAGTCCAGCAGGGCACCAGCTCTTTCGCCTCCTAGCAGACTCCAGATAGCTCGGACCTCTGAACAGCCCCGCGTGCTGTCAGAGTACAGCGTCAGTCCCAGCTATGGCTGACACTCCGCAAGTCCAGCTATGGCCATCTCCTCCAATGCTGAAGCTGTCACCACTTCCAGTTCACGCGTTGCACAGCAGCGACGTACACGGTACCAACTGCCAAAAGCCGTGAACCGATGTCACCAACCTATCTATAGCTACCCTAGCCTAGACTCGACCTAGACCCTACTGGTAGGACTACCGGTACCGTTTCTGTTTCGGCCTCTCGGCCTCTAGGTGGCGTAAATAATTTTTTATCCGCCTTGAATTTTCGTTTATAGGTAGCTAGGCACCTACGCCACGTGTTCCCGAATTCCAACCAATTGCGAACTTGGGATTCGTAGGTGTCCCCACATCTTGGATCTGCTGCCTGCAGACAGTCTGTACCCTTTCTCCTGTGCGAACCCCCTGCGTCCGAGTTCGTTACCGTTGACAGAAGTGGATTGGTTACCACTTGCCCTTATGTTTATTTCCGTGGGATCCATGAACTTCACCATAGACCGAATAGCTCGCGAGCCTTTTCCGCTCTTTCCCAACATGTTGCGGTCCCCATCGAGTTGGTCCCAATTGGGTGGGTAGGATGCTCTAAGCCACATTGCGCAACGGGAGTGACGTTGGCTAGGCTTTGATTGAACTGAAAGCCCATCGAAATTGGTTGTGAGACGGCGCACCGTAGAAATAGGGATAAAAAGTTATCAACATAAAAGTTTATGCCCAGCCTACGTAGCACCATGTTCGCGTTAGGAGGCCAACGCGAACATGTTCGCCCAAAAGCTAACAAGCGCACAAAACGCTCCGAACGCGAACATAAAAAATATTTTAAAATATATTTATCAGAAAAATCTGGAAAACAAAATATGTTATGTAAAATAGCAATAGAAGAAACTTTTGCCCTGGAGTCATGTTCCAATTCGTAGCTAATCTCGAGTTAAAAATCAAAAACCGAAAATAAAATTATTATTATTTTTTACTAGAAAAAATTATGTTCGCCCGAACATATTCGCGAGCTGTTCACGCGAATGTGCGAACACGTTCGCGCGAACTTGGAGGGGCGTGAACACGTTC